ACTTTAATCATGATGTCGATTCCACAAGAGCACTTTCGAGCGATCATCTTCAATGAATGGCGCTGCGGCACAGGAGCAGTGGAAACCGTCAACATTATCAGCATCGCATTGGGAAGGGACACCACTTCCATCATCAGTGCCAAGCTCTGGTTCGCAGGCTTCGAAGGAGGAGACACGGCTTCCGAAACAAGTCAAGGTTGGGAAGCCCCAAACAGTGGAAGACTCCACCGTTCGCGGCCTTGTGATGAGACTCGGGTGCACCCATCCTCGGTCCCCTCCACGCCCTCGCCACAGGAAAGTGCCGACTCGATGGATCCCTCATGTCTTGACCGATAGCACGCGGTTCAGGCGGGTACCCATTTGTCAGTTTCTCCTTCTTTGTCCGCACCGAAAGGAGTTTTTGGAAGGCATGATTACGAGAGATGAGAGTTGGGTCCTCTACGATTCTAACAAGCACAGTGCCGTGTGGCTCCCTCGAGGAGAAGACCCGCCGACACAAGCAAAATCGGACCTTCACCCCAAAAACTGTCTTCTTTGCTGCCTCTGGGATTCGTGAGGAATGTTGTATTATGAGATGCTCCCGCAAAGACATACCGCTACCGGCAGCATTTACGCCAGTCAGCTCCAGAAACTAGCGGACGCTGTTCAAGAAAAACGACCGAGACGAACTTCTGTCCACCTACTCCACGATGACGCCAGGCCCACATAGCTAAAGAGACCCGTGCATAAAAGATTCCCAAATTCAACAATAAACATTTCTTGTCGTGTAAAAAATAAGCTATCTGTGCAGAGATACTCAGACAAGCGTGCACTATTAGAAGTGATAGTTTGAAATATACAAAAAAGCAGCTAATGAATTCCTAGTTATGCTACAGATACACTTCTACATGTCTTATTGAGTGCCAAATCAAAAAATTCATAAAATATGAGTTTGAATTATTATTATTAATTATAACTAATTATCAATAATGTACAACCTTGAACGTGGTTATCTCAAAGAAATTCTTAAGTAGCCATTTCACATACTTTGTGGGCGTGGATGCTGTGAAAGTGGTAGTTGTTATCCATCTACGGATTGCGCGTACACACTCACCATTCCCGAGTGCCACACGTACTTTTTACATTCACGTCAAAAAATGAGTGTGGACGGGTGTCTCAGCAGTAAATGTTCACCTACAAGATAAACGTGCACACTTGCACTATCTAAGGTTTAGGCATATTTTCCTGTTTCTTTGGAAACTTCTTATTTTTGAACACTTGCAATTACTACAAATTATCATGTCATTTGATAGCCGTTAACATCTTTTAGTTTATTGCCAGTTATATGAACCATGCTTATTGAACACTTTTTCCTCCTTCCTTACTGAGATGCATGGAGGGAGAGTAGCTCCCTCCATGCATCTCAGTAAGGAATTTGGCTTTCGTATAAGGGCACGTACGGAACGGAAGTCGAACCAATCTTTGATTATTCCCCCCCCCCCTGAGTATTTCTAAGTTCTATGTTTATACTCAAACCTAACTATTTTTATTTGGAGGGAATTAGCTCGAAACACCGTCTTGAACAGAGGTTGAAAATATACCTAAATCTCAAGGAATATCTGTCAAAATATTAATAGAGGTGTGAGTTATCAAAACCTTACTCATTACTGAACATCAGAATACAACAGATGACGGTCATTTTTTTCATTTTCTAAATTATTTTAGAGCAACCTTATCGTCAAAATTTCAATCAAACGAGAATGCGGTTGTAGCAAGTTTGCTATTTTGGATTTCTTCAATTCAATTCACCGCTTTATTTTTTGCACAAATGGTTGGTCTGTATCTGAGGACGTACGAAATCAAAAATCCTCTACGGTTTGCATACAGAGAAAACTTCGACGTGAGTTGGTGTAGCGGTTTAACAGAAGAAGTCGCACATTCCTTAGATGTGATTGAGTTAATGGAATAATAGCAGCTGTTCTTTTTTCACACTTTTCTCTGCACTCGGATCCCAGCGCGCTAGTTGTCCATATGAGTCTCGCGCCTAGATGTATATTTTAAAGGATAAACCCCGGAAAAACCATGAATTCATGTCATCCATGAATCTAATGGCCTGAAACTCATTGTTCACATAATAACGGGGAGACCAAAAAGAGTTTTGTTTGATTCGGTAAACAATTCGAACATTAAGGACCTCATCCCTTCAGCGTCGCCCATTACGCGGCTGCCCAAAGGCGCATTTCCTTCCCTCTGCCTGACTTAAAGACTTTCCGGAAACGATTCCTTCATGTCATAAGTCATTTTCGCTAATAACAGCACATAAGTTAGGAAGGGACTATTTCCACGGCATTTTTGACTGTTCCTCAATTTTTGGAAAAATTCCTTCAGCTATTTAACTACTACACGCTGATATTGCCAACATTATCGACAGTTTACTTCATGAAAGTAAAGCAACGACGGATCAGAGATATCACAAACAATGTGAATGTATGTTATGAGCTTTATATAGGCAGAATCAGGAGTTTCATCCTGCACTTGTTGTTTAAACACTTTGCTTACAGATGACAGCAATAGGGGTCGATGGATGGAAGAATTACTCAACCGTGATCGAAAAGCAATGGAATTAATCTCAAGGAAATCTACCTTCAGAGCTATGCAAAGTCCAAATTTGAACTGGCGCTTCTGAACCTTTTGTATGTATTGTCAGCTGATTATCTGAAATTATACCATTTTTATTGCACACCCTTCAAAGCTTATCCTCCAAATACAATACTCAAATGAAACTAATTTTCAAATGATCTGTGATCACTCTCACAATCAGAAATAGACGTTTCCAGCTTCCAAATCACTTTTTCTACGCTAAAAATCTTCTTTGTGATAGAAGAGTCCAACAGATTTAAGCGAGTTATTGCCATAATATAAGGAGCAAATGATGTTCAGTTTGCAAAATGCGTGCACTTCCAACTCCGAATAATTTGAACTTGGAACGGTTATTCCTTGAATCGTCGTCGCCTTATTGCAAGTTCTGATATTTTTGCTCTTTTTAAACAGTCTTCTATGTCTCGTTGCGGTAAGGGCCCTCAGAAGCTCACCTCCGCTTAACGGATAGACCGAAGTTGCGGAACCTACGGTACGAAGAACGTAGTGCTTTTCTTACAGCATAAGGATGCCAGGTATTCACTGCCAGTCAGAAGTTTTATAAGGAATATGCAGTAGCAATCATAAGATTGAAGTTAGAAGATCTGAACTTCGCCTTCAGAAAGAAGGTATCTACATCGGTGCATCTAAACAATGTACAATGTTTTTGAACTGGGATAGGCCAGATAAATGCAACTAATCTTTGAGTTATCGAAGCAGTGATGTAGGTTTTATCGCAGCAATTACACGATCACACCATTCAAAAACATTCACATATTCGAGCACAATCATTGAGATTTGCTTTCTGTATTTTTATTTTGACACTATTCAAATCTACTCTGAGAAAGGACAAGTCAAAATCAATAACGGCTGTTATATTCTTAGTATATTTTAGGATCGGTGCGATTATTCACCTTGGCATTTTGTGCAAGCACCTACAGTAGCGATCAAAAGTGTTCGCCTAAACGAGCTTTAGTGCATTATTTTTCTCGAT